TATCTTTGCTATCTTTAGATAATCTGGAAAAGATCCTTGAATTATAGATGCTCTAAATATTTTATAAAGAATTTTTTTGATAACGTCGTAAGAGTCGATTATAATATTTCCATTAATGGCATCATATCCTGTTGCCTTTTTCTTTTTAATGATTTAAAAGCATCATCAAATTCGTTATAAGTTAATTAAAGTATGATTTATCTTTAAATTACTGAGATTTTGTGCATCATTGACGTGTTTATCGTTTATATTTGGAATACTGTAAGATAATTTTGTTCCTATAGTTGTAAAATGTTTATTCAATTCGATTGCAATATCATTTAATTCAGTTAATATAGTTTTTCCAATTTTCAATGTATGTGGTAGCAAAATAGCATTGTTTTTTATTTTCCTTGTAATTTCTTTTATTATTTGCCATGCGCGCACAGTGGGCCAGAATGGTCAATTTCGAGACAAAATTAATAACTAATTCAATATTAGTGCTACATTCACTATATTTGGCATGAGTACCAATATAAGGTCAGAGCTTCTTATGAAAATGTTGTTTTTTATTTAGTTGCTATGGATACCTATTTTTTGGCATAGCAACAATCAACTTTTTGTAGTTGCAGATTTGTTATGTGCGCTATATACACTAAATTTGGCATGAGCACCAGTGTAAGGTCTGCGCCTCCTATTAAGATGTTATTTTTTATTTAGTTGCTATGGATACCGAAATTTTGCATAGTGCTATATACACTAAATTTTGCATGAGCACCAGTGTAAGGTCTGCGCTTCTTATAAAGGTGTTTTTTTTTATTTGCTTGCTGTGGATACTTATTTTGGCGTAGCATAAACCTACTTGTAGTTGTTTTTGTGTGTCATACACACTAAATTTGGTAAGAGTACCAATACGAGGTATGCGTTTTATATTATGATATTTAGTTTGGTTGCTATGGATACCTTATTATGCATAGCAACATCTTATATACTTTTATAGTGACAGTCAATTTTATACAAATTCTTGACTTATTTACTGCAAATTATTAAAAAAACAGAATTTTTAATGCTCTGGTGTTCCAAATAAATGTATGTGGGAAATTTTTAATTTATGCTAATTATAGAATATTAACAGTTTTAATTTACAATGCATAAACTTAAATTTTAATAATAACTAAAGAAACCAAAAATTAGCCTGTAAAATTCCATAAAAAAAACAACTAAACACTGTTTTTTAACAATTGCAGAACACCTTCTGGCAAAACCTTCTTCTTAGTACTAACTATTGTTCTTAGTGAAGAAATGACTGGATCACTAGAACAAAATAACCACTTAAATAAATCTTCATTACATTTGATACGGTCACACTTGCGTGTAAAATGCTCACGATACTTTTTAAAATCTTTATTCCGAGCCTCTATAGCTTCTTCACTTAAGAGCCCATTTGGTAATGTCATGTAATCAACAACACTGGGAGTATGAATTAGCATTTTGTGAATGCTCTGCGGCATATAATACCATGGATAGCACTCCACGTAAAACCTAGCTGTATGTGTACAGTATTCCCTGAATAAAACTGCATCAAGCTCAAAACCACATGAAATACAAGTCAGAACAACATGGAACATTTTTATAAGTTCAAAATTGAGTCCTGTGATTTCAGAAAACAGTTGTTCATTCTGAAAGGCTCTTCTGGATGTGTTGCCATCATTAGATGTTCCTGAGCCGCCAGCCTTAGGCCTATAGACAATCAATCCCATCTTCTCTTGAAAAGCAAATGAATTTTTTTCATTTGCATTTCGATTTGTTGCTTGTCAGCTTGCAATCTTGCTGACCATTTTTTAACTGGCAATTTGTAAGCAATATGTTCATTGAATAGCTTAAGCATTCGAATGTTCGTATCTATGCATGTAGAATTGAAATCCCATATTGTAATCCATTTTGAGAGTGCAACTTCAGTAACACCTGTAATAAATATAAACTGCATTTTAAACTAATCAAATATTAAAAGGTATACAAATATATATGTATATATATATATATATATATATATATATATATATATATATATATATATATATATATATATATATATACATATATATATATATATATATATATATATATATATATATATATATATATATATATATATATATATATATATATATATATATATATATATATATATATATAAACAAATTTTAAAATGTAATAATGTTCTTAAAAGAATAAATTAAATTAGAAAATCGCTTTACAAAAATTTTTCTTTTAACACTGTGTTTTATTAATAAAGACTCATCAGAAATGATGCATTTCTGATGAGTCTTTATTGATAAAACAGTGTTAAATAAAAAAACTTTGTTGAGTTATTTTCTACTAGTTTATATATACAATATTTTCTATATACCTTGTCAATATCATTCATTTCTTTAGGACTAACACCACAAAGAGAGCAACACTGTGATGAGTCAGTTACATCAGATAATGCAGTATGGGCTTTTCCATCAATCATAGTAATTTCAATTTTAATGCCAACATCAATAGGCTTACCATTAAGTATGATATAGCTTGTTTTAGTTAGCTGTTTGATCTCATTTTTTAATGTCAATTCCTCACTACGAAGAAGGTCTGCAGTTTCCTCTACAAATTTAAATCGCAAAGGTCGACAGTACAAAGTAGATGATGGTTTAGAGTTTCTCTAAAGAATAATCTTTTTATCATTAACAATAGATGAGAGTTCTAAAGGTACAAAGCATGTAATAAACAGAGATTCTTCACTCTTCAGATTCCTAGTACACTCATTATCATTACATGTTTGTTTATAAATACTATGCCCACTTGAGCCATCAAAACCAGCTTTGTATATTAGAACTACTCTATTATACTCATTTGCATTTACAACACCAGTCTGTGTCTCCAAAAGCCTTGTTGTAGTGTGATCCAGTAGATCTTGAAGTGGAACACTAGCAGTATAATCAGTTACACATATATTTTTAGGATAGCATCGATCTTTTGCCATTCTAACATTATTATATGCTGGGTAGAGATTGCATTCCTTTTCATCAGCTTTGTTTTTCATCAGTTGATAAGATGCTTTTGTTAAATTACAATCTAAAATAAGGGCCAAAGCTTCATCACTAGACATATAAAATGGGGATAGTATCCACTAACAATTTTTCTACTAATTTAGCTTTTTTAGGCTGATTACCTTTTCCAAATTTCACTTTAGTTGCAAATAATAGTTGGCTAGCAGAGTATTGATCCATTTCAGCAACTTTTCTATACTTAGATCTAAAAGAGGACTCATCAAAATTCAAAGTAGGCCTTCCAAGAGGAGTGGTAACAATTGTTGGAGTAGCAGGAAGAACATATGCAGAAGATATAAAGTCAGTATCCAACCAATTTGCATACTTTTTCTCAAAAGCTGCAGCTTTGCGACTAACATCATTCCAACGAGTCTCCAAGTTTTTTAAGAATGCAATTAATTTGTTTCTTATAATTTTAGAATCATCCAAGTCTAACTTGACAACTAATTGATCATAAATTGTGGGATTTTGTATAGACATATTATTGGATCTAATGCAACTGTATATATAATGGTACTTCATTGCTATATTATTATTTATTCTAAAAATAGAAAACTCAACCTATATATATATATACATATATATATATATATATATATATATATATATATATATATATATATATATATATATATATATATATATATATATATATATATATATATATATATATATATATATATATATATATATATACATATATATATATATATATATATACATATATATATATATATATATATATATATATATATATATATATATATATATATATATATATATATATATATATATATACATGTCTATATATATATAAAGTTTATATTATATTATATAATATAATATATGTTAAATATAGTTATATAGGGTTTTTGTATAATCAATGATAAAGAGTAACATAAAAAAAAATGTTTTATTGACAGTTGTCACGGTATAGAATCATGTGTAATGTTTTAGTTACATATTCTACATCTGCAAGTATCTGCAACCAAAACTGTTTTTAACTCATTAAATATATTTTTTTCAGTAAATATCAGCTATAAAAACCCTGGCCAAACATGGCCGAAAAATTATAAGCATAGTATTAGCAAAAAATAAACGCAATTATTTCAACCATTAAACACACTATCTTTGATAGATCATAAAAAGAGTCAAATACGTTCAAGACGATAAACATAAATGCCAATTGATAGCCAATATATGTATTAAAACTACAATTCAAACTCGTAGTAATATAAATTGCCTAACATTAAATGGCAAAACATATTAAAAAAATATTTTTTAAAAATTTTTTTAGAAAAGCGCTTGACCGTCAAAAATATTGTTCAGGGTGACAACTTAAAATTAAAAAAATTTGGCGAAGGCGTTTTTTTTGATCAACAACCCTTATGTTTTTATGTAAATCAATATGTTACGTTCATTGAATAGTAATTTTTTATACAAAAATTGAATAAAAGTAATTTTGACTTTTGGCACACCATGGCCCACTGTGGCGCTCTGAATCATGTTTGTATTTGTTAAACAAGTCAGAATAGTATTTTTTTGTGTGGTTTTTTTGCGAAGTTTTTCGAATAGGTTTTTGTAGGTTTAGTAATGTATTTTGTATTTTTCGGATTTAGATTTTAAGTACTTAACGTATACTTTTTGCTTGGTTTTTTAAAATTTTTTAAGACCTTTAGAAATCCAAGGATATAATATGTCTTTTGTTTTTAGAATTATTTCACAAAGAGAAAAATTTACATTATAGACTTTATAGAATGTTTTTAAAAAAGGTACCCAGCAAACATGTAAGCGTTGAATCAACGTTGAAAACCAGTCGCAGCGTAGAAAAAGCGTTACAGTCACAAAAACAACGTGCTTTCAACGTTGAATCAATGTCTGTTTTTGTATACTAAACCGTGGTAAATTGAAACGTTGAATAAGCGTTGAAATTGTAACGTAATTTAGCCTCTCAAAATAAAACGTTTATTCAACGTGGAATCAACTTAGGCAAAAAGCCACATTAAAACCGTTTCGAAGTATATTCTTTATCAACGTTAAAAACAAACCGCTTTTTAAACGTTACATTTTCAACGTTGAATAAGCGTATAAATTTAAACGTATCTTATCTTCTCAAAAAAATGCATTTATTAAATGTTGAAAATAAGTACGCAAATAATCACTGAAAAAACGTCGCAAAGGTTGTGGTTTATGTAGTAGTTTATCACCTCCACCTGATTTATCACCTCTTCCCATAAAAAACTCAAAACGAGATTGCGCTTTTATTTTATAGCACTTAAAGGAAAGACAAGGTCAACAATTCTATAAATAAAATTTACTCGGTCTGTTGCGATGTTCCAACTCCATATTTTGAAAGGTAATTAAAGAAAAAACAATAGCAATATAAATTATACTATAATTTGTAAATATAAATTAACTAGTTATGTATTGTTGTTGTAAATACTTGAGGATTTGAACTATATGTGACTGATTTATCACCTCCCCCCTAATAAATTACTTGTCTTACGTCTGATTTATCACCTCAACCCTAGTAAATCACTAAGCTTGAGATAGTGTGACAATGGTATTAAGCAATAGTGATAGAAGTTATACAACTATAAGTTAATTAGTTATGTATTTTTGTTGTAAATACTTTAGAATTTGTTTTATATGTGGCTGATTTATCACCTCCCCCTAGTAAATTACTAAGCTTGAGATAATGTGACAATGGTATTGAGCGATAGTGATAGAAATTATACAACTATAATATAATTAGTTATGCATTTTTGTTGTAAATACTTTAGAGTTTGCTTTATATGTGACTGATTTATCACCTCCCCGCTAGTAAATTGCTTGTCTTACGTCTGATTTATCACCTCCCCCCTAGTAAATCACTAAGCGATAGTGATATGAATCACTAGTGATAGAAGTTATACAACTATAAATTAATTAGTTATGTGTTTTTGTTGTAAATACTTTAGAATTTGTTTTATATGTGGCTGATTTATCACCTCCCCCCCTAGTAAATCACTAAGCTTGAGATTGTGTGACGATGGTATTGAGAGATAGTGATAGAAGTTATACAATTATAAATTAATTAGTTATGTATTTTTGTTCTAAATACTTTAAAATTTGTTTTATATGTAGCTGACTTATCACCTTACCCCTAGTAAATTGCTAAGCTTGTGATAGTGTGACAATTGTATTGAGCGATAGTGATAGAAATGATACAACTTTAAATTAATTAGTTATGTGTTTTTGTTGTAAATACTTTAGAATTTGTTTTATATGTGGCTGTTTTATCACCTCCCCCCCCCTAGTAAATCACTAAGCTTGAGATTAAGTGACGATGGTATTGAGAGATAGTGGTAAAAGTTATACAATTATAAATTAATTAGTTATGTATTTTTGTTGTAAATACTTTAAAATTTGTTTTATATGTGGCTGATTTATCACCTTACCCCTAGCAAATTACTAAGCTTGTGATAGTGTGACAATTGTATTGAGCGATAGTGATAGAAATGATACAACTATAAATTAATTAGTTATGTGTTTTTGTTGTAAATACTTTAGAATTTGTTTTATATGTAGCTGATTTATCACCTCCCCCCTAGTAAATTACTTGTCTTATATCTGATTTATCACCTTACCCCAAGTAAATCACTAAGCTTGAGATTGTGTGACAATGGTATTAAGCGATAGTGATACAAGTTATACAACTAGAAATTAATTAGTTATGTTTTTTTGTTGTAAATACTTTACAGTTTGCTTTATTGTGTCTGATTTATCACCTCCCCCTTAGTAAATTACTTGTCTTACGTCTGATTTATCACCTCTGCTCTAGTAAATGACTAAGATTGAGATAGTGTGACAATGGTATTAAGCAATAGTGATAAAAGTTATACAACAATAAATTAACTAGTTTTGTATATTTGTTGTAAATACTTTAGGATTTGTTTTATATGTGATTCATTTATCACCTTCCCCTTAGTAAATTACTTTTCTTACGTCTGATTTATCACCTCCCCCTTTGTAAAAAGGTAATGCATATATGTATATATATATATATATATATATATATATATATATATATATATATATATATATATATATATATATATATATATATATATATAAATCTGTTTTTTTATAAATTAAAAATTTTTGCTTTACTTTCTAGATAATATTTATGTTTAGTTCATGTTATGTTTAGTTATGATCTTCATAAAACGCAACGCAAACACTGGTGGATGAAACAAAAAAGGATTCATGATTAAAATAATAACTTAAGAACGTTACATACTCCATAAAAAACAGTTTGATTTGTTGTGAAACGTGATGCATAGCCCACAAAAAAAGTTTTTGCATGCGTTTGTAGTTGCTATTGCGGTAAACCCACGTCTTTACATATATAATAAAAACTTTTCACTGTTTGAAAAAAATCTGTTGTTAAGTTCGGTCAATGATGATCAGCATTGAAAAAAAAGAAAAGTATTTCGAAAATATATTTTAATACTTATCAGAAAACATTTATCCGGCTGGTTTTCAGAAAAACAAAAAACGAAGCCTTAGAGATTTATCTCGAAGTTACTCTGTGCAAGGTAATTTAATTTCAGAACATTTAGTTAAATAAATATATCGTTCCAAGCTACACAAAAAATTTAATATTTTCTTTAAGATGGAAAGCTAAAACGGAAAGTCACGCTCTACGGAAACTCATATCTCGCGGATGTAATCTTTTGTAAACAAGAACAAGTAAAGATATTTTCAGAAGAACACGGAAGCCCTTTGGGAGGTCATTGTGGTGAAACAAAGTCAAAGTCAAAAATTATGGAAAAATACTTTTGGCCAAACATGACAAAGGATATTGTAAAATGGGTAGGTAATGAGCAATTACACAAATAAATCAGTTGAAATTCTGAAACTGAATAAAAGTTGCAACTTTCTTAACAGGTAAAGGAATGCAAATTATGTCAAACATCTGGTACACTTCTTATATCAGTAGAGCCGTTACGTTCAATAAAGGTAAGAATTCTTTTTATAAGTATAATAAAAACAGTCTATATTAGGCTTTCTCAGGATACGCGTGCGGTCGCACGCCTTGAATAACCACGCATGTTTGTTTTTTTGTTGTTAACTTGGCCACGATTTTGTTGCATATAATATATGCAATAAAATCGTGAATGACCACGCATGTTTGTTTTTTTGTTGTTAACTTGGCCACGATATTATTGCATATAATATATGCAAAAAAATCGTCGCCAAGTTAACAACAAAAAAACAAACATGCGTGGTCATTCAAGGCGTGCGACCGCACGCGCTTCCTGAGAAGGCCTGATATATATATATATATATATATATATATATATATATATATATATATATATATATATATATATATATATATATATATATATATATATATTATATATATATATATATATATATATATATATATATATATTTATATTTATATTTATATATATATATATATATATATATAAATATATAAATATATATATATATATATATATATATATATATATATATATATATATATATATATATATATATATATATATATATATATATATAACAATGTATATTCATTTAGACCAATGCAATTAAACATTAAATAATACTTATCTTTTTATTAACGTTTATTTAAGTAATAACTAATTGATATTTTCGGAGATGCCTCCCCCCTCCCTTCCCCCCTTCCCCCCTCATACTTTGTTCGTTGGAGACGGGAGGGGGGGCAAGCAAATTTATTTAAATTTTATAGTAAATCATATTATTTAAAATCACTTTATTTTCTTAAAAAAAATACTTCACTTGGCAATATGATTATTAAAATCGTGATATGTAAACATAATAAAATATAATGCAATAGTTAAATATAATATATAAATCATGTTATTTTTTTTCTCTTCTTGCATATTGCTTTATATGCTGGCTGCAACTGTTCCTTGGTTCCTGACCTACGGAGCTGATCTCGTCTTTGCTGCACAGCTAGTAAAAGTTCTTGACGATCATCCTCGTTGTGAACATTATTCACAAACTTTAATACAAGTTTTACAGCCCTTTCAGAACTATCGTTCACTACTTCAAGTTTACTTACAAAATTGGAGAATGTTTTGAACTCGTCAACATAGCACCACATAGGAGCAGGAGAGTTTAACCAAAGTTTGTCCTCCATTCTTGTCAGGTTTAGCAAACTGAAGATGAACCAAGAGTTCTCTCCGATTAATCGAGCAAGTCCTGGTGGCACTTCTTGTTTAAAATTTAACTCTTTGATCAAGTTTGACTTCTCTGAATGCTGAAAATGATCAGGAACTGGTATGGAGAATAATGTTTTTGCAATGTTTTCTCTCTCCACATTAGAAAGGTCAGGGTGTAGGAGAGCAAGTGGAACTAAAGTTTCATCTTAGTACCAGGTGTGTCTCTTCATTGACATCATTGTGCTTTTAATTCCGTTTAGAACTCTCTTGGAATCAGCGTTGTGTTTCTCTACATGTTCTTTGTACTGCACCATTTGCCAATAAGCTTTTACATCTTGAAATGGTGCAGCTGATGGTGATGAGGTTCTCAGAAACCAGACAGAATAGAAAATCGAGATAAATTCTGCCATTGCCTTTAACTCTTTCCTTTGGGAAACAGTCAAATCATAGTGCAGATGTGTACTCAATATCTGAATTTTCAAGTAGTAAATGGCTTTTGACATAAACCTAGCATGAGAAACACAGCCTGGAGCTCGAACTTTAAAAAATATTTCAGGATGCAGATACATCAGGGTAAGTTCCAATAACTCCCTATAATCCCCTCTGGGAACAATGTCAGTGTTTAATGCATCCTTGCAAAACTGGATAGTTTCCTCAACCTGGGTAGCCAAGAAAGTATTGCTGATGGAATTGATATCAAACCTTATTAAATTAGAAGGATCAACAGTTTCCTTGAGGCAATTCCAGTTTGTCTGAAACCGTTTAAACATTAAATTTTCTGGAGCTGCTGTTTTGCCTGAGGTAATTTGCTCCCAGAAATGTTTAAGATGAAGCTCATAAATATGCCTCCTGCAGGCAAGCTTTAACAAAATAGATTCCTGTCTTTGACTGAGCCTAGTATTGGTTCCTGAATGTCTTCTAGTATTTGAGGCAGTTGTGTCAAAACATAATCCCTTCACATCGTCACATATTCCATAATCTTCCAGTACATTATTCAAAGCTTCATACTGAGCAGCTCCAGTTCCATGCTCCATAGCTAGAATTCCAAGAAGCTTAATGTCTCCATCAATATTAACTGAAACAATAAACCTGTCTCTTTTTTCTTTTTTCCCATTAGTGAAATCTTCTATAATTTTTCCATCAAAGTGAGCTATTATGGGAAGTGCTTTCTCAGCAGCTTTTTTAACCTCCCTTTTGTGCTGTGCAGCATTTTGATGGATGGTTTTCTTTTGTGCTCGCCAAATAGTTGATTGAGACAGTAAAAAGTTTTCAACATTTCCACCTGAATTAACAACCAAATCTGTACACACATGCAACAAATCTCTAGAGGAAATATTTTTGGAAACTGAAGTCATGGCAATATCTTGTACAAAATTCTTGGCTAACTGCGACGTATCATTACTTGGACCTGGCTGTTCGAAATCAAAACAACAATCTGAGTCCATGCTGGTACTTGTATCACTAGTTTCAGAAGAAAACTGAAGCTCAGTAGTCAAATCATCTCTCTGAGAAAACTGTTCAACACTATGTACTAACTGTGGATGTTTCAATCTTCTCTGTTCTCTCTTCTCAACCCTCCGGTTATATAGCTTGTCTTTTTTACCCAGAGTCATTTTACGTCTGGCCTTTTGATCTCTCAAAAATTTCATATCAGTACGATACGAGACCTTATTAAGGCTTGTCTTCTTTAGAATATCTTGGATATTTGGTTTAGCAACCCAGAAAACCTTATTTCCTTTTTTTTTGAAATCTTGTCAAGCTTTTCCTGCTTCTTTCGAGTTCTTACACTTACTTTTCTTTAAACTCTCCCAGCTGTTGATCAGATCAGTGATATGCTTCCTATAATAATATATAACTGGTTTAGAAAATAATATATTATCCAAAATTTTTGTAGTGTATTTTATGGTAACCTGTCCATTAAATATGAATTAAATTTTGTTTAACCTACCTTATAAATGGGTCAGTGAGTATCCCATCCTCGTATCCTCCGTCTATCCAAGGTTTCTTAACTGCAAACATAATGCAGTTTTCAGGACAGCTACCAAGACCAGAACACTTTGCTGTTTGATGACCAATGGTACAAGCAATCAGCTTTTTTGTTGGAGTTATTTTGTCTCCAGATCTTCTAAACTGAAAGTAGATAATAATGTCTTTATTTGTTGAAAACATTATTTCTGGTAGGTTTTCTATAAGATCCTTTTCTTCAAAAAGATAAGCCTTTGTTTTAAGTCTTGTTGATCTTGGCATCTTGGTTTCTAAACAGTAATTTGGTTAAAGAAAACAATTCATATTCATTCTTTGATTTAAATGACGTGTATTTTACAATAACAATTTTGTATATAACCGCAGATAGTATACCTTTTATAGAATGTTATGGATACACCAGATACACAGAACACAGAGCAGAGAATTTAAAATTACGACAATATGTCTTCCGCAAATACGACAATTTGTTAGTTTATAAAATTACCACGGAAACTAATAAAAATTCCAAAATATTCAGGCATCAAAATGTTATCATAATTTAATATTTATATTGTCTTTTTTTCTAAAGAAAAAAAGTGATTTTAAATAATATGATTTACAATAAAATTTAAATAAATTTGCTTGCCCCCCTCCCGTCTCCAACGAAGAAAGTATGGGGGGGGAGGGAGGGGGAGACATCTCCGAAAATAGGGTGAGGGGGGCGGATAGCTATTGACATGCCCCTTCTATATAAACATTATTAATGCTTAGTCCTAACATTAATTTTCAAAATTCGGCCTAAATATGAAGAATAAACAAACGTCAGTTGTACAAAGTGGTGCGTCATTTTATGTAAAAATTCGTTTTTTTCGTCACTTTCTCCACACTATGTGGAATAAATACCACCATATTTCATTTTGGTCCTACTCTATTATAAATAAATAGTCCAAAATATACCATATAAAAGAAAAGTTGGCTTTCTGAGTTGATTTTAAAGGTCCCCACCAGACCCCTAAAGTTTGATACGTTTTTGTACACAAATTTGACCGGCGGAGACCTTTAAAGTCACGTGACATTAAAATTTTAGGGTTTAAAATTATTTTTATATTGGTGGTCAACCATTCCAGGTAGGACCAACTTGATTTTCGAAAATTTGTCAAATATGAATCACCCTAATATATATATATATATATATATATATATATATATATATATATATATATATATATAAATACAATGCAGATAAACATAAATAAAATCCTCTAATTAGCTATAATAATTAATAAATAATAATGAAAGAATTTAAAAAGTTTGTAAAATTGTTTTGTTTTAGAACATTACAGATGCTCAAAACAAACAAAAGCTACGCTACGATAAAAGAGTATTAAAATGTACAAAAAAGAGTCCATTGGTTTCGAAGATAAAGTATTGTTACTTGACATAAGAGGTCGACGTTCAAAAGGCACCGCATTCAAGCCACGCTTTAAGGGACCGTTTACTGTATCCCATGTAACGCAATGTGGGAACTTTAGGTTAAAAGACGACAACGGTGTGCAAATATCGGGGTTGCACAAAAAAATACATGTAAAAAAGTTCATTGAAAGTAATGTAAAAGGTAAAATGAATATGTTTTTTTAAGTAGTCATTTTTTTGTTTCATTGCTAGTTAGCTAGAGATTTAGGTGTTATGCAATTCTGTTATGGTACTTTTTTTTAGATGATGTCAGTGTTATAGATTTGGCTAATAACGATATTTCGATCGACAGAACACAGAGTAATTATCAATTTATGCCGGATATACATAGCTTATTTAATTTAAAAAGTTAAAATTAATAGAGGTTTTTTTTTTAGAGGTTGCTGATTCAAAGGTACAAAGGGCAAAGATAGCCAAAGGTTAGGGAACGAACAACAAAGTTTCAAAGGACGCAAAATCCGATGAAAAATGTCGTGTTATCGAAAACAGTGAAGGTATATCGACTAGTAAGTATATCGTAGCTTTGCATCTTAAGTGGGCAAAATTGAAAATTTTTGTTTTTTAAATAAAGATTATTGTTTATTATAATGGTTATTTGTAAAAATTAGTAACAATAAATTTAATCTCCATTACATTTTAGGATTTGGAATAATTGAATGCCTAAAACCAGTTAAAGCAATAATGGTTTTATTTAATTAAATGGGAGACAGTAAAATATATGACTACTCGCTGAAAGAAACTTTAACTGATTGTCTAAGTGATGAAATAGTTTACATTTATCTGAGGTTACTTGCGAGCAAACAAGATAAGGTAAGATTTATTCAAAATGACGCAGTTATGTATTAAAATCATTTTATTGTGTAACAAATCTACAAAATAAAATCCTCAATTGTTAACCGGTTTACAATACTTTGTTTTTATAAAATAAACATTGCAAGGTAAGTAACAATAATTCGTAAATAAAGTTTTTTTTTTACATGTAAGAATGCAATTGAAGTACTAGCACCAGCTGAATTGCTGTCGTTGGAAAAGTTACCAAAAAAAACTGCTCTGATTCGAAGGAAACATATGGTATTAAACAGTGTCACTGAAAAAAAATATATATATAAACTTTATTAAATTATTTAAAGCTTTAATTGAAGTATAAACATTGACACAAAAAGGTGAATAGTTTGAAATACTTTCCCCCTTTATTTGCGTAAATTTATGCACATATGGCCGTTGGTGCAAAGGCTGGGTGCAAGTATTATAAAGAACCAATTAACATAATATTTGGGACAGATCAAAATATATTTTACATAGTCACCTAATTGTGTCACTTTTTATTTATAACAATTGCGGCATATAAATATCATTTTTATATGCAGGATGAGTTATTCAAACTAGATATAATTATGTGCTGTGTTGTTGCAAAAAATCATTGGACGCTAACAGTAAGTCAAACTTTCCTAACTCCTCATTAAATAAGATTTGTGGTATATTACATCAAAATGAATAAATGAAATGGGTTATAAACAATATATAAATATAAATATAATATATATAACAATATATAAATAACATAAACAATACAAATCATTATTTTATAAAAATAATATAATTGCATTTATTTATAAATATAAAACGAACATGAAATTCAAGTGAAACAATAGTATCATTGCAATATTATAAATACCTTTTGTTCCAGATAATCAAACCAGAGGAAAAATGCTTGTATTATATAAATCCTACTGTGAACTATTACCTACATTACAAAAAGAAGAAATAAAATGGAAGTATGACATTATTCAATGAGCAACGCATTTATTTAATAAAATTTATGTTGTTCTTAAATATTGATTTTGTTATATTTAAATAATAAAATTATTTATTTTTTAAATTTCAGTAGCTATTTGAAACAGATATATGGAATTTCAGAAACATTTAAAATACTGACATTGCCACATGCACTGCAAAAAGCTTTTCACGTGGAGTCTTTTGTCTTAAAGTAACAATAAATTAATACTTGATTTTTTATTTTGTTCTATTTTAATTATTTTTAAGTTTCTTACCAAATAGATATAATTATTATTTACTTGTTTTTTGCTATAAAAACTTGTTACAAAGATATCTTTGTTTCTGCATCACTTGCGTTAACAGTGAAGTGGTTTAAAGTAGCAGCTGTTTAGCTAAATATATAAAATAGCAGTCGTTTAGCTCAAGTGGTAGAATATTTGTCTCAGACTCTAGCAATCTGGGGTTCAAAACCCAACTCCGGACAAGTCTTTATAAATCAATTAGGAAGAAGGTGTAAACATCTCAATGCTTCTCCGCGATGCTCTGTAATAAGACCGTAAAGACTTCTTAGGGCACCTAAAACAAATTAAAAATAAAGTCACAACATATCCATCTAATTATCAGATTTTCTGTTCTTTCCAAACGAAGGACATCATAAACCTTAATTGTCTATGTTTCACTGAAATGCATAATAATAATCTGAGCACATGTGGTATATATCTCTCCTTTAAACTTTAATGAAGCACCTCTTTCTGCTAGTAGTAAAGATAATTCTCTTAACATAGCCCAGGCACTTCCTACACACTCCACATGATCACTTCCCAGTATTTACTTTTTGCTCATTCTTGACTTTAAAATGCATAACTTTTGTCTTAATCTTGTTTACCTGAAGCCCTTTTGCATCTATTTCCTCTGTATCTGCCTACAATTAGGCATAAATCATTAGTATAGAACAGCTCTCATGACAAACCAACTCAGCATTTTTTGGAAATAAAACAATAATAAAAAATTAAGTAGTGATTACTGAACCATGATGTACAACAAAACTAACTCTCCATCTTTTCTTTATGGAAAATTATAAATTCCCCTTTTTTTTAAGTGGCTCAAAAAGAATTTTTCCGTTTTCTGTTTTTGTAGAGTAGTTACTAAAAAAAAGAAATTACTTCCTCCCCCACTTACCCTACCTTCTCTTAAAACAAAGTCTACTACTATCATTTCTGTTAGAAAAATATTTTGTATACGCTGCTGATAGGGTAAAATTTAATGTAATTTTTATCGTGTTTATTGTTACTACTAACAATGCAACGGTTCATACATACAATGTTACATAAAAAAACGATAAATGACGCAAATTATTATTATTATTATAGTAAATATTATTGTTATTATTATTATTATTATTGTTATTATTATTATTATTAATATTATTATTATTATTAACATCATTATTTTTATGTTACAAGTTTTATTTTTGTTATTATATATTGTGAAAATTAGCATTATAATTATTTTAATTAAATGTTAACATTAGTAGGTGTTTACTTTATATTAATAAATTTACTATTTTTAAACAAAAAAATGTAAAATCTTAATTCAGAATTAAAATGATTGATTGATTGACAGAGTAATAGTAATCTCAAAGTCAAATATTCCACCTTTGATTTATGGGAATGATCTTATTGCCTCTCCCAAAGGTAAAGATTGATGCCCAAACGTCCCCTGCTTAATAAAATACTTATTATAATAATAACAAGAGTTTTATAACAAAACATAACAAATATTACAAAATATAACAAAATTTTATAGTTTGCTGAAAACTTTATAAATGGCGAAGACCTGGTAAAGACCTTTTCATTAGAAGAAGTAACCATATATCGAAATGTCATGATGCATTTTCTTATTAGCAGATGAGGTTTGTTTTGTATTTAGTTAACTAAAAATTAGAAATGAAATTGTAAACAATTATAACAATAGACAAAACTGAATTTCAGGTCAAAAGAATTGGAAAGATGTTCTATGTCGCCTATGCGAAAAAAAAAAAAAGGACCAAAAACACATAAAAAACAAATATTAGACTAATGGGTATAAAATTTAAATTATAAAAATGTCATTAATCTTATAATCATATTATGAAACAACTACTATATATGATTTATTTATAGATTAAGTGTGATAAATGCTTACCAAGTCGATGGTATCATATGGACTGTATTCCAAATGTTCTAGATAGCAGCAATTTATTTACTTGCGCAAACATTTCTCCTTAAAACAAACAAGTAGTAAATGTTGAAATAAAGTTGCATAACTATAACATCTTTAATATAAAAACGGTTTTTAAATTGATTTTAATAGTAACTTAGACAGCATTATTTTAATATTTTATCATAAAATATTCTAATTTCTTATTTGATTCTGGTAAATCCAAAATTCTTTTATCGATATTTTAGATTTTTGTATTGCAGTTAAAAGAAACAAAGAAGAATTTGTAAAAAAGTATATGTATCATGTTTATTACTGTAAATATAAAATTATACAAATGTGTTGTTTAGAATCCTTTCTTTTTATTCCTCTTCAGTAAACTACATCTCTTTTATAAAGTAATTTTATTAAAATCTGTTTAAATAAAATAATACAATAAAATTTTATAAAAATTACTGCAAAAAAAAAACAAAACATTCATGAACAATAAGGTTCTCAAAAAAAAAAAACATTTGAAAAACCAATGTGTGCAAAATAAAAATTATTATCAAAATGTATACGTAGTTAATAGCAAAAGTTTCAGCTCTCCAAATCAAAGCTAAGGTTAAAAAGATGTTTTAAGGCAATATCCCTGTATATTAAATAGGCACTTTGCCTAAGGATATCGCATAAAAACACCTTCTTTACAATAGAGTTAAAATGGAAAGATAAAACTTGATTTAAAAATGATAAAAACACTTTCGCAAAATACCATTGTCACTGTTTACTAGGGTGGAGTTATAAATCAGACGTAAGACAAGTAATTTACTAAGGAGGAGGTGATAAATCAGTCACATATAAAACAAATCCTAAAGTGTTTACAACAAAAATACATAACTAATTAATTTTTAGTTGTATAACTTCTATCACTATCGCTTAATATCATTGTCACACTATCTCAAGCTTAGTAATTTACTAAAGGGGAGGTGATAAATCAGCCACATATAAAACAAATTCTAAAGTATTTACAACAAAAGTACATAACTAATTAACTTATAGTTGTATAACTTCTATCACTATCGCTCAATATGGTATTGACACACTATCTCAAGCTTAGTGATTTACTAGGGGGGAGGTGATAATTCAGTCACATATATAACAAATCCTAAAGTATTTACAACAAAAATGCATAACTAATTATATTATAGTTGTATAATTTCTATCACTATCGCTCAATACCATTGTCACACTATCTCAAGCTTAGTGATTTACTAGGGGGAGGTGATAAATCAGCCACATATAAAACAAATTCTAAAGTATTTACAACAAAAATGCATAAATAATTAATTTATAGTTGTATAACTTCTATCACTATCGCCTAATACCATTGTCACACTATCTCAAGCTTAGTGATTTACTAGAGGGGAGGTGATAAATCATACGTAAGACAAGTAATTTACTAGGGGGGAGGTAATAAATCAGTCACGTATAGTTCAAATCTTCAAGTATTTACAACAAAAATACATAACTAGTTAATTTATAGTTTATAATTAATTTTTAGAATTGTTGACCTTGTCTTTCCTTTAAGTTGTTGTTGTTGAAGTTTATTGCGCTAAACGGACGTCGTAGGTACAATTCTAACAGCTATAAACTAAAAGCGCAATCTCGTTTTGAGTTTTCTATGGGGGGAGGTGATAAATCAGGCGGAGGTGATAAACTACTACATTTATCAACGTTAGACATTAGCTGCTTTTTCAACGAATTTAAACTATTTGAAAAACAACTCTTATTCAACGTTATTTCAACGTTGGTTGAAAATGTGGTAATTAAAAAACGTTGAAAAAGTGTTACTTTGCCAACGTTAATAAAACGTTGGTTTGACAATGTTAAGGAAGTGGCACATTAAAAATTTTTGTCTCAATAACTAGCCATTACAAAAATAATTTGCCGTAATGGAAAGGCAAGGAAAACTTGATAGAATGCATGCATAAGGTATAAAAATTTTTTTAATAAAGTTATATTTTATAGCCTATTTTATTGCGACTAATTTAAAACTTTTAGATTTTATTTCAAAATGTATATAAAGTACGTAAATCTCAGGGTAAATTCGATTTATTCAGCTTATTTTTGTCAATGTTTTATTTTGTTTTAAGTTGACGATTTTAATAAAATGCTCAACTTTTTTAACAATTTACTTCTTAGTTAAAAATAGTATTTAGTTTTAATACGATTCACATTTATAAAATATTATCAAAATTAATAAAACATAATAAGTCAGACTAAATTAAGTTTGTTAACAGAATAAATTTTTAAATTTATTTAAAAATTATCACTTATACATACATACATACATACATACATACATACATACATACATACATACATACATACATACATACATACATACATACATACATACATACATACATACATACATACATACATACATACATACATACATACATACATACATACATACATACATACATACATACATACATACATACATACATACATACATACATACATACATACATACATACATACATACATACATACATACATAGGAACATATATCGTTAAGCGCGACCACCTCTTCAGCCATTACAAACGGATCCGATTTTAAATTTTTTTTTGTTAACTTGAAGAGTTTTAATTGCTCTAATCTTGAATACAAATGTATAATTATACTTTAACAAACTCGAACCAAGGGTTTTAAGGTCTTAAATTGTAATTTGCCTGGAAGCGTATAAACAGTGAAATCAAATATATGTATTTATCGAAAAGTTAGTATAAGCGGATCCAACTATATACGATACTGATTTGAAAGCTTTTGTTATATCATATACTGAATACTGAAAAAACCATACCCACATACTCATCATTGTTGAATTATGTCACGGTTTGCAGTTTTACTGCTAGGCGCGTCCAGAAGCGGTAGTAGACGTTTTTAAATGCAAACATTTCCTTACTTACCTTACTTAAAGAAGAAAGGAAAACTGTATATATAAAAAAAGAAAGAACGAAGAAAGTCCGGCAATTGTTATTTAAAAATTAGTTTTTCTTTTTTAATTGACCTTTAAAACAATTTGACGTTAATTTGACCTTTAAAACAATTTGACGTTAAGATATTAAAAAACACAATAGAAGCATCTTGCAGTTTAAAAGAATAATGCGAAAACACATCGCAGCATACAACTAAATAAAAAAACAAAATAAAAATTTCTTCCTTTATCATAATCCGTAAGAATAAAAGATCAAAGTCATTAAAAGTGATACTGTAAGTTCTTAAAAAAATTAAAGGTTAAATTTTATATTAATCTTTTTTAAATCGCAAAAAAATGTTTAGAAACTATCATTGTTTAGTAAATATAGTTAGTTATTTTTAAAAATGAATTTCTTACAGAAATTAATAATATATAATAAATTAAAATAACTAAAAACTCCTCAACTCGAGCTTTTTACTATTTTTTGTACGATTCTGTACAAAATGAATGTGGACAACTATTTCTTATGCTCTATAACAACTTATTTTATTTTCTAAAGTTTGTTTTAAAAAACCACCGCTAAAATGACAAGTTTCTGCTTCGATGAATGTCAAAGCCAAAATGCATAATTATCAAATTGCGCTAAAACTTTATTCGTTGTTAATTAACTTAAAAATAACAAAACTACACTATAAGGAATTCGTGTAATTATCAATATAGAACTGCAAGGTATAAAAGATAAATTACAGCACATGTACTAACTAATTTTCTTTTTTATATGATATTTCATCATATGAAATAAACTGCGCTTAACTTAAACTGCGCATTTTTTTAAAACCAAGTTTATCTTAAAAAAGCAATAACACACACAAATAAAACCCAACTCAAATATCAACCCTACAATTATTACTGGAGTTTTTATAGGTTTCATATCACGAGCCACTAAAATCTGCTCTGAAAAATACATTAATAACGAGGTTCAGTTTGTGGAAAACGGTCATAAATGATCAGTTCTGAAAACAATTGTCACTAATTATCTTTCAAGAAAAAGCGATCCTAACAATAAAGTTGCAATAAAGTTACCTTGGCTAACAACACTTGGACCAAAACTACGAAAAACACTAAAAACATATAATACCAAAGTTATTTTTACAACACCACCTAATTTAAAAACAATTTTTGTAACAACAAAACTAAGTTAACACCAAATAGCAACCCTGGGGTATACAAGCTAACATGTTCATGTGGGGAAATTTATATTGGGGAAACAAAAAAGAGATTTTTACAAAGAAGCATAGAACACCAAACTAATAGCATGAATGGTAATTGGGATACTTCAGGAGCGACTGAACATTGCAAAGAATGCTATGGAATATTCGACTGGTTGCACCCAAAAACGTTATCTATAAATAGCAACTATCATGAAAGAAAAATAAGAGAATCTCTTGAGATTAGTTATGTACAAACATTTCAGGAGGTTAAAAAATTCCCTTTATTACTTAATAGGGTTAACGGGGTTAAAATTGCTTCAAATAGTTGGAGACCGCATTTTTAAAAAATCATAAAAAAACTTATTAACGTCAAATTTATATAAAAATAGATAAATTTATTGACGTCGTCTTTATAATGACTTCTAATAGATTTTAATATTCTATTATTTTATAACGTTTTTTTTAAAATTTGTCATTTTAAGTCTGTTGACGGTCGGAACTAATCAGACCAAAATATTATACAAAAAATAAAATTAGTAGTACGTTTGCTGTTATTAATGTTTTATACCTTATTTTAATTTTTTTGTACAACAAGAAATGTCGCTGAACTCAGCAGCTTACCCTCTGCGGTCATTCTTTCCAAAAGCAAGAGACAACGGATCGTAACAAGCAGCAAATGTAAGACTTGCGGAAAAATCGAGGACAACTTTCATATTTTTGCTTATTGTCCTCCCTCTATTAAAATATGGGAGTACTTTAAACATGTATTTAACTTCTTGACAACTCAAAAGCAATTTTCCCCAATAAATTCGCTATTCCTTCTGGAAATAGTTAATTTATCGGAAAAAAACCCCACTTTGCAGCTGCTGTTGACACTCACTCAAACCATTATGAGTGAAATGGGGAACAGCAGATGCCATTATATGTTTAGGAATTGCGTAATAGACCCCGAGGCAATGATCAGGATAATAACCAGAAAAATAAATAGCGTTATTACTTTAAAATATAATTTTTATGTCCGTAGAAACACTACGGACATTTTCTATAAACTGTTTTGTGTTAACAATATATTTTGTCAAATAGAGAATGGGACTTTGAAGCTAAACATATGAGCTGAGA